ATATTTTTAACAATATGTATAGAAATTAATTTAAAAAGGGTAGCCGGCATAATAGACTAGAGTGACAGGCATTGTTAGAGAGGTTTGCCCCTGTTGTAATCATTAGGTGGACAGAGTTGTGACAGGAAAATAAATGATAAAACTCAGGTAGAATATTTGCACGGCTTGCTTAGAACCTGCTGAATGAGATAACATATAAATACTGTGACCTTTCAGTCGAAATTGACTCTAATGCTATCCAGCAACGTAGTGAACCTGTGGATAGCACTCTGACTGCAGACAGAAATAGACTGTTACTTCAAAGGAAATAGAAAATGTGTATCCATGTAGATTATCCAAAGGACTTGTCCTTGAACCCCTATGAAAGAAGTGCTAAAACTAGCCTAACACATCCCCTCCTTTTCTCTCAGTCCCAAAAAAGATACTTTACCAGAACCTTCTCTGCCAAGAGGCTTGCATTCAGTAGGCCTATGTCAATGTAGTTTTTGATATTTATCTAAAATAGGATCGTAAGATGCATTCTTGAAAGTTGTAGTTGTAGGTCAATTGAGCCAAAGGGGAAACTTGATCCACCCTGGTTTCTAGGAAACCATACACAAAATTAATAATTTGAAAAAATATTTAGGAAGAGGTCATCATTTCATGGAGTCTGTGAAGGAAGAAACCACATGGAAAAAGTGGTAAGCAAGTTAGGTCCAAAAAACGGATTTTCACCAAGTCAAATTAATTTATTGTGTTAGAGGTTTCATGATGCTTGTATCTAAACCAAAGTAGATCATTTTACGATTGTACATCAGTTGGTGTCTCTGTAAGCTTCAATATGAGGTCCTAAACCTAGCATGAAAGTGCATCCTTGTAGCTGTGTGGGGCTAATATAGTCCAAATGTTTGTCTTGGGGTAAGTTGAGCCAATATCCATGGGGTAAGTTGAGCCAATTGTTGAGCCAATGGGAAGTTGTGCAAATGGAAGTGTTTTCTTCCCAGGCGTAGTAATGCAAGGCATTATTGCTGGGATATGAGGTAACAAAAGGGCCTAGCCTATGTTAAAAGTGTTTTTAAAAAGTACAACGTGTTTGTTAGGTGTTAAGCCTTTGTAAAAAGATGCTTAAAATGATTCAAAAACAAAAAAGCAATTGTGATTGTGTTGAACTGTGTTTGGGAAATAAAGATAGACATGGTTTTAAAAAGGTAGTGGTAATATTTCAGAAATTATATATATACAGAAATGTGTAGGCGGCTTAACATACCCTGTCCCGTGGCTCAATTTACCCCATACCGGTGACGGTTGTGCCAAGAAGCCACTTTTTTTAACAACCTATGTTTTCAAAACTGTAATTTTTTACATGAATTCTGATTATTTCCAGACATACACAACATCCTGAAATATATGTAGATATATTTGTTAGAAATAATACTATATTCCCCTTGACAGAGTGATGCTGAATGTAAAAGATGGCTCAACTTACCCCACTCTCCCCTATAATCACATTTTAAAAAGCTATATTAAATCCAAATTCTATTGTCCTTTGCATTCTTACTTGTTCTTTTTCAGCGGCCAGCTAAGACTTGAAAAGACTGAAGGCAATGTCCAAAAGGCTGTTGGCCTAGAAAAGGCCTTCAGTAGGAGAAAGCTTGACAGCAGGAGGTTAGACTGACTGCACACTTGTGGATAAATCAAGTGTTCTATCTAATCTGGTCACCCAGTGAGTCGCAGCCTGCCCTGCGACTCTCTTGACACCTGCAGGATGTCTCCCACTAACAGCGTTTCCCAAACGTGGTCCTGGGGACCCAAAGGGGTGCATGTTTTGGTTTTTTGCCCTAGACTACACAGCTGATTCAAATAATCAACTCCTCATCAAGCTTTGATTACTTGAATCAGCTGTGCAGTGCTAGGGCAAAAACCAAAACATGCACCCCTTAGGGACCCCAGGACCAAGTTTGGGAAACGCTGATCTAATAAGAGATGCTTGCAGCTATAAGTGATGATTTCTCATATCTCAGAGCCGAAGATAAGACACTCATTTTGTCAAACCTATTTAATTATTCTTGTTTACTCTGAATCTTGTTTTTCATTTTTTCCCTTTATCATTAAAGATCCGGCTACCCAAAATCTGTTTTGGATTATGGAGGAGGCCTAGGCTACAACTACCCCCTCCGCAAATGAAAAAGTAATCGGAGGGTGGGAGGAACAAGTGTATTATGAGATTTATTAAGGCGATTTAGATGTGCATAGAGGCTACCTAAGGAACTTATTGTTTTTACATACAACATTGTTTACAAGGACAGATATTTCATTTGAATAAATATGTCTACTCAAAGATTAAAGATGTTCTGCAAGCATCCCTCTCATATTCGGCTAATACCCACATCCGAAATCAAATAATATTTTGCTTGAGCTATTTGGGGATTTTTGCATTGGCCTATAGCTTCACACGCATTGCTCCCCCCCCCCCAAAAAAACAATATTTTTATGTATTTGTGAAAAACACACATTTTGTGTTCTTTTATTATATCAGAATCCAACCTGAAACATCAACAAGCCTAATTTAGGCTACAGTGAGGCCTATATTGTAACACAGGCACAAGTATACCCGTAATTATTTAGCTCCTCTAGTCGTTCTGGGTTAGCAGCGTGTAAACAGTGTGTAAAACAGACTAATTGATCTATTAGCTGCAGAAGAGAAGACAGACGCTGGATGAGTTGAGTCCATGCCATTATCCATGCTTTGCTTTCCCTCAGGTATACTGGCATCGTGGTAATCCCATTGCCCATGCATCATTACCTTCAATAATGTTTGGCAGCTTTTCTTTACACCCCCCGTTTTAATTAACTTGCCGCTAAATATTTTATACACAGCTATAGCCCACATCTTAATGTATAGGGATCCATCGGTGAGACGCGTGTCTATATGGTAAGTCATAGATTTATTATTGAACGAGACTAGGGAGATAATCTTGTCTTAATGTCCTCGCTCCTATAGCCTAATGGACACATCTTGTTTTGTTCTTAACGACTTGAGGTCTGTATGAATCTATAATGGAGAAAAATCACACATAATAGCCTAGTAGTCCTAGCAGGGAGCTGTCATCCATGACGCTCACAAAACATGACGCAATATCATCTTGGCAGCACAATGAATTTGCAAAACCCATTTTTTCATTAAACATTAATACCGGGCTCTTTAAATTTGTGTCCATGTTATTCGCCCATCATGCCCAGGCTTTTTTAATCATAACAGTATTCAGAATATGATTCCCCAAGATTATATTTAGAGAGATTTGACGGAACATATCTCGCCTGGCTGTATGGACAGATTGCATTGAGGTGGTGATCTGGATGGATAATCTGAAATCACGGTCGGTTGACCTTTAATAAAAGAAAACCACGTATCTGAACTGTCAGGAGATGTTCATCACGCCACCTTCATTCTATCTGGCCTCGTGGGCATATAGTCCCTTTAATTTATTTTGAAGGGAAGGTTGTCTATATGAAAAGAGATGGAAATAGATTAATTGTCCTGAATAGTGTGGCAAAGTAGGCCCATTTGACAAGGACACTTATTAGATTTTCTAAAAGTGTTTTTTAACAATTGATCAAAATGTGTGTCTTCTGCTTATCTATAAGCTACACAGGATGTTTTATGTTATTTAAAATTATCCGTCATAATCGAAAAACAGAAAGAAACGTAACAACATTGTTATTACGTAGGCCTCCATGTAGGTCTATTTTGTGTGTGTGGACAACACAATAGGTCTACCTGTATGTTTATAATTTGATTACTAAATGCAAAGTCCATTGTTAAGACCATACCAGCTTAATTCATAAGAGACTGAGAGCAGACGATTGGAATTAAAAATCTCTAAATATGATGTTATTATTGTCATCATAATTCCTTATCACGATATTTCCTAGGGAATTAGGCCTACCCTATTTCAATTGAAGTCACACCATTGCATGTATTACTGAGGGCTCCCCCATCCCTATCTATAGGTCGGGCCTACAACGTTGACCACAGCTCCTTTCAATAGACCTAATACGAGACGTAATACTCTTATTACAAGCTCTAATCCTCCAAATCCGACCTGCAATAACGTTTATCTTTTGGTGGCTTAATTTGCATGCCTCTAAGCTGTGGGTCATTCGCAGCAGGTCACACCGTTATTTTGGTTTATGTGGTAGCATTTTCTTTTGGTCCTCTGAAAGTAAAGTCTGCACAATATCCATCTCAGACTAGGCACACATTTCTGCATTGCATTTGAGTGTTTTCCACAACATTTGTTTGAACGTTTTTCGAGTTTTCTACTTTGGAATGAGAAATATGCCTATTACGCGATACTACATGCCATGCCCATAATCATGTAAAATATCAGCTACGAACTATCTTACATTTTTGAAAATAACTGACTTCAAAGTTCAAGTTGAAAGGAATGAGAAACCAGTGCTTTCGTGTCAGTAGTTTTAGCATAATGACCAATTGGTTCGTTTTACGCACAGGCCTAATACTCGTGCTAATACTCATGTGTTATATCAATCAGTTATGATTGAAATGGGTCAGGCAAAAACAGTCGAACCAAAGTCTAACCCACACAAACTATGTGAATGTTCCCTTATGGGTTTGATACTACAAATGACCTTTTAATTAACACAAGTAAGTTATTGCAGCGGCTCCCTACACAGGGGACAAAGCAGCATTCATCCCGTATTCCTGCCTCGTTGATTGTCTGAACAGTAACAAAGTGTTTGATGCCAGAACTGATTAGATAATTACAATGGAGAGATGATGTCCCCTTTCTTCCTGGCCTTGTAACGTTCATTCACGTTCTCTACTGAATTATGACCTTCCAACAATGTTCCAAGTCAAGAAGATACACTTTGATCTAGTGCAAAAGTCTCAAAGGTTTTAATTGGCCGACTGAACCAATGTTAATGTTCTGGAAATAATCTTGACACAAAAACGAGGAGTTCTTGAAAAAATTCATTCTTATAAAATATTTCATGAATGGCAAACACAGAATATGCTCACAATTATCTTTGAGATGAACACAACACAATCAACAATTTCTCCAGGTCGACACACACGCAATTGACTATTCCAATTCCAACTCGATAAATCCCACTCTTTTAGCGAACAGAAAGACCAACAACAAGCTAAGTATTTCTCCCTTAAATCAGAGAAAAATAGCACACAACCACAGTTGAAACAATACATACATGTAACACAAATATTTAAATGACACATACGAAATAAATTAACAGATGATGAATCAAATAATAAATACACAAATAAATAAATAACATTGCTACTCTACGATTGCCCATTGCATACATCATGAATTGACCGTCAGTTCCCACACCGTTGCATTTCAGAGTCTTGCATAAAGTCATCGTCAACACCATAAAAACAACGTTGTGCAAAATCATGGCAGCTTCCACAGTTTGGACAGGGCTCATATAGCTTTGACTGCGGAGCGCCGCAGTTCCAAGGTGTAAGGTAGGTAGAATGTCCGATGCTCGTCGTCATCCCAAGTCTTTATAGTGCATAGCCTAATACCGGCTAAATAAAAGGCCCACTGTGTAATGACTGCGTGTCCATCAACCTAAGGGGAAGAGAGAGGAAAAACAAAAACATATTATTTACTGATATCCATTACAATGTCAATCCTCGGCTATCAAAGTAAAGGAAAATACATTCTAATATAACATAAGTATTTCCTTAACTATAGACTGACATATGGCGTTCAGATAATCCAATAACATATTCACTTTATAGACAAGATCACATAGCCTATGTAATACCATCAACCTGTGTTAGTATAGAAAAGTTTCAGTACAACTGGTGTAATCCAAATGATTGGATTAGCAGATGATGGTTAGATGCTTTGTTGAATGATATACAAGTTGAATGTGTGTGTGTGTGTGTGTGTGTGTGTGTGTGTGTGTGTGTGAAGGCTCACCTTCCTCACCTCTTCATCACAGGTCTGAAGGCAGTGACCTTGTCATCTTGCAGGGTCACACACATGTCACTGAGTTCCGAGGGCTCTGTCTCTGCCTTCCCACTCGAGAACCCTAGACAACAACATAAACCACACTCTAAGAAACTTGCTGCAGCCAGGGAATATTGCATTGTATAGCAATTTTTTGGTAAATAAATGTTTTGACAGTAGTGAAAGAAATGTGCATTTCTGAAACTCATTTCAATGTTGTATAACTTTTCACTGGTAATTTCACAACTGTTTTCGCAAGCACTGTCAAAATGTAACACAAAGTGTCACAACACGTACATACCTTCGATAGTGGAGTACTGACATGAGTCTGAAAGCGCAGGGTAGGAGGAACAGTGCAGTTGGAGGGCCTTGTGGTTGTAGCTGCCCGCACTATAGACCTTAGAGTGCAACAAGGGGCCCTCCTGGAAAGGGTTCTCAGCGTTGGATATGTTAGTAGGATCTTGGAGGCCCCTGAGGGGCCCACACTGTCCGGTACCATTCACTGGTAGCCTGGTCCCCTGTAGCTGGCAGTCTCCCAGCATGCTCCCTGTCCGGAGCTCTGAGGCCCCGTGGTGAGCAGAGCTCAGGATGACCCCCGTGGCCGCTGTACGCGCCAGAGACCAGATCCTCGGCTTGTCCCGGTCCGACACCTCGAAGTGTGACAGGGACACAGTGTGAGGGCCCGTGGGGATGGTGGTGGTGGAGGGGGGCTTAGACGTCACCAGTGGATCAAGGAAGTCCGATGGCAGGGCGGGTAGAGAGGGCAGGGCGGGTAGGCTCTTGATACCACATGGGAAGGAGTGATGGAAGCTGTTGGGCAGGGAAAGGGAGAGCTCCAAGCTGCAGTCTCTTTTTGGAGGGCCTCCAGGGCCAACACCACCACCGGACATGGCCCTGTGGAGGTCCTGCTGCTCCTCAGGGCCCCTGGGGGCCATCTTCTCACAGTCAGTGTCCAGCTTGTCACAGTCCTCATCCTCCATGTCCTCCAGGTCACTCAGATGAAGGTCTTTCTCATCTTTACACTCACTGGAATCTGAATGTTGAAATATACAGGAATATTAGTGGTGATATTAGAAGTAGAAGCAGTATCATATTCACTGGAATATGAATGATGAAATATACAGGAATATTAGTGGTGATATTAGGAGTAGAAGCAGTATCATATACAGTGGAATCTGAATTGTCCAATACACACAACATGATATGTGGAATAGTAGTGATATTCAGGAGCAGAAGCTGTCATTTTTATCAAATCAAATGTTTTAGTAGCCACATCTTTGCTGTTATTGTAGGTGATGTGGATACGTTTAAGAGGAAGCAAGCTACTGTAAATCGTTGTGCAAAACTCTAAGATGTTTGTTTTTTATATGCTATGCTAGACAGAAGAGGGAAGAGGATGTGTACCTTTGGTGACACAGTCCTGGTCACTTTTATCCAGGTCGTCCTTCCTGTCGTCCCCGGCCTTATTCTTTGGTGACCAGGTCATCTTATTCTCCTTCTTTAGCCTCCTCCTGGCGTTGGCGAACCAGGTGGACACTTGGGTGAGGGTCATTTTGGTGATGATGGCCAGCATGATCTTCTCCCCCTTGGTGGGGTAGGGGTTTTTCCTGTGCTCGTACAGCCATGTCTTCAGGGTACTGGTGGTCTCACGTGTGGCATTCTTCCTCCTGGCTGACCCGTTGAAGTCCATAGTCCCATACCTGGTAGTAATAGCAGACAACACATTAGCCATTAGCAACATTAGCATATAAGCTCATAAACTATTCACCCAGACCCATGGCACTCCTGGAGTGTTGTCTGAAATATAGGCTATACAGCTGTGTTTTATCTAGCAGTATAGAGCTGCATGGATTGTGACCTTTTGCTCTGGAGGTGTGAGATTCCTTGAATGCAGTGGAGATTACTTTAATGTAAGTTATTACTCGTGCATAGCATGGCGCTATATAGCTTTATTACACTAAAAAGGAATAGCTGAACTGATGCACTACAGATAAGGAATGTGTGGGGTACCATACCTGTCATATTGGTACTGGCCCAGTGAGTGGTCATAAGGAAAGTAGGTGGCAGGTTGAGTTATGCCAGAATGCAGAGTGCCTGTGCCATCCTTAATTTCGTACTGTGGATTCTGAAATAAGAAAAAAAATTAATGAAGCACTTAGGTAAATGTATTCCTTGTTCAATAAGTTAACACATTCACATGAAATATTCTACTGATTTGTTTTATTTGACATGTTTCTAAATATTGCAAACAAAGTTGATGTAAATGGTATGCTACTTTACTCCCTTCCAAATTCAAACGTAAGAGGCTACTTGTAGCTTAAATATGAGTCTATTCGGTCCATCCATCAGGCAGGCAGGCTACTCAAAGTCATTTCAATAAGGAAATACTTGCTGAAGTTCAGAAGCATGGAGAGTAATTTTGATCAACATCTATCTTGATCGATCGCATCCCAGCCACCCCCATTCACTGTCAGATTAAACGGGATGTACCAGAGATGAGTAGATAGCAGCGGAGGGCTCGGCGCTGTAGGGGAAGTAGCTGGCATAGTTCTGGCTGGCGGCGGCCGCGGCTGCGTAGGGTGAGCTATACATCCCTAGTGCCGCGTTGAGCTCCGTCCGTGTGCTGGCCAGGAGCCGGTTCTCGTAGGAAGGGCAGCAGAAGGTAGCAGGAGTCTGGGTACCGCTCGTCCCGTCAGAGACCGACCTGGAAATCGAATCGCAGCAAGTCGTACTGGGGTTTGCCGACACGAAAAACTGCATGAAGAGAATTGTGGAGGATAGACATGTCATTCGTGTTTAGCGCATGAGCTCTATTATCTTCATATCTAGAATATATTTTGATATGGTTTTGAGATACAGGACAATTCAGGTAAGATGGAGACTAGATATAAACGCGTGCTGTGTGTCTGCCTAATTTTATTAACAGTTTTAAGATCGCATTTTACATAATATCCAGGTGAAATTATAGGGTACCGTTTTGGAAATAATGTGTTTCAGTTAATTTTGGGTTTTAATTTGATAGAAAAGGAATTCTCAAAGTATCCATACAGTGGATGACTAAGCTATTGTAGGCTACTGAAATTTGATGAAAACTTTTAGAGGAAAATAACTTATTTCTAGTTGAATCAAAGTTCTGAGAACTTTTAGCGCATACATTTGTCCAGTTGTCACCAAACAAATATATTTAAACGATAAATCAGTCCGCCTACTTCAAGTTTTCTAAATAATAGTAATTGTCAATACCAAATTCAGAGATCTTAACTGATTGAAATAGAAAGTTGGGAAGGTTCACTGTTAACTTCAAAGCGCAATTAGGCTACGCGAATGGAGGTATAGCTTAATAATAAACACGTATTTTGTCTTATCAAAACAACACGTGAGTACATTCATAATTAAATTAAATTGGACCTGTGTTTATGTCTATCGATATTTTGATTAAACAAAAGCGTCACCTGAAAATACCTGTCAATATTTTGAAAGCAACTATTCAGTGCTGCATCTAGATTACAGTGAACACTTCAAATAAAAAATAATGCTAGCTTGTTTACATATTTGTCACATTGAAATTGAGAGAGAAAAAAGTATGTTGATATTGTCTTACCTGTGAAGTTGCATTGTAAGGATATCCAAATTGAGAAAAAGACATAGCTGCTTCTTTTGTTAACATCAGGAATATTCTTCACCCTTGATCGATTGTAACCAATTCTACTTCAAATCCACCTTCTTACACACATTTCCACGTACGGCCTCTCGCTCAATAATAGATGATTGCACTTAGGAGGGAGAGTTGAGGCTGGTACCAACGGTTGCAGATAGTTTTATATATGAATAATCCCCCGAAGGAAATGATAAGAAAATGAAATTAAGCGTCATTAAGTACAAAAATTGTTGTTGTATTAGCTGAAGAAGGCTTAAAGGATAACGTAAGACTTGCAAGATATGGACTCTGCTTGTGCTGTTATTTGTGCCTCTATACTTCTTTAGCATTCACCCATGCAAGGGTATCAGTGTGACGTCATTGTAATCCCGGAACGACAGGACAGCAAGGATAGAATAATGTCTTTGCCAATCACATCTAACATCGCGTTTTCTTAAGGTGTTCTGTGCACTCCCCGTGTCCCCTCGGCTCTGTGCAGTAGTCTTCTTCACTTGCTTCACTGATAAGAGTATAAAGGAAAGGGGTTGTTTTGGTACAGTTATGGAACTGACAGATAGATCATGGCTCTTGATGCGTATCATGTCCAAATATAAAATAATACAAATTGAAATGACCACCAAGCATATTTTGTTATTATTATGCGTAGAATAATACATATTCAGATGTGTTTTCTTTCATTTGGGATATCTGATTCTTTTGTATTTCTTATCAACATCTTCATCATAAAATAATAATTTCATGTGCTCACTTGAAAAATAATACATATTTCTCCAAACCCAAAATCTTCATTGGGATACACTATACCTCACTCACTCATTCTGTCTTTCTTACATTGGGATTTTGGGATTATGAATATTTAAAAGTGAAAAAAGTGAACACCAATGGATGGTCGTGGATTTAACGCGTTTTTACGACCTCTGTGCGCCTCTTTCTGTCAGGTCAGAGGTCTAAGACCGAATTAATGACGATGATGTTCCCATCTTTCTCTATTAGAGAGAGAGGAGAGGAGAGAGGGGGGGAGGAGAGGAATGAGGCAGGAGGAGAGGATCGGTCTCAGTAGGAGCGAATGGAAAGGCTTTGGCAGGTCAATAGACGAGTGATTGATGCGTGCCTGGAGACCTACGTGACCATTACGCGTAATGCGTAATTGCATCAATTAACAAATTGATACATGCCCTTGTTTAACCAGCAAGTTACACAGTTTCTGAGTCTGAAATGGCACCATATGCCCTATATAGTGCACTACTTTTGACCAGGGCCAATAGGACTCTGGTCAAAAGTAGTGCACTATATAGGGAACAGGGTGCCATTTGGGACGTAAACACAGTGAAACTATGCCTTTGAGGTGAAACCGGAAGAGATGTGTGGATAAAAACGACGTGATAATTAAATATCAGTGGAAAGGGGGCGACGAGATTGCATTTTAATTGAATGATGCTCAGTTGAAAGTTGTGGAAGAAATAAAGCTCCCTCGCTGAGAATAAAATGATAAATAATTGTAAGGTTTATTAGAATAAGGAAGTTCATGAATTTCTCTCTCGTTCTCAAACGCGCAATTCGCAATGAAATGTAATTATCACAAGCATTTATGCACGAGCGTAACACACACACACACACACATTGAATAGCTAAATATATCATTATTTCTTGATTTAAGTTAAAACTATTTCCTATTGGCAATAACAAGAATGACGACTCCCGCTATCACCAACCAAATGTGATCTGCTTAATTCCCTTCTATCTAGGATGTGATCGTTGTTGTCATGGTTGATGTGAGGAGGATATTTCAAGGCCTCTCCACTCAAATGTAATTGCGCGTTGAGTCCCTGGAGATGCGTCTGCGATTACGGGCTTTCTCTTCGAGTGGCGCCAGAGAGCCGCGAGTAAAGATGGATGTTGATCCCTCCAGAGATTCTCCAAGGAGATAAAGTAGGTTGGCAGTGGACACAGTGGTCGAATTGCCCGTGGATACCCTTCAGATGGTACACAGGTAGTGGGAATGGCCAATTGTATCTGGCTGCATGTTGACCCACTATATGAGTATTCAGTCTTGACAATATTATGTAGATGAGATGGATAAAGATGTTCTCCTTGATAAGAGAAGGACCAGGAAATAACTGTTCCATTAGGCCTACTATTTTTATTGGGTTTACTAGGCCTACTATTGTTAATAGTAATAGACAATTACTAATATAATTGTAATAAAAATCACATTTGTGTTTCATACTCAATTTAGTGTGCTATAGCTGAATTATTATCTTTAAGAAGTAAAATCTTGTAGAGATGTCAGTTTATTATTCCTCCTCAGTTGCAGAGGAATAGGTGTACATGAGGGGGGCGGAACATGTGATTGCTTTGCTGTGGTCTGTGTTTTTCACAAGGGCATGCATGATGGCTCAAGTGCATTTGGACAGCCTCATACATAATGTATTAGGAGCAGTCACTGTGGATCTCACTGCATCAGGCCCAAATCAACACTAATTGTAATGGCAAACCTAACTGGCCTGTTTGCAACTGCTCTTTAAAATATTGTTCATTTAGACATGTTTTGAACTGAGTATCTATTAACCTATTTCCTTTACAAATTCCAATAGGAATTTTGTATCTTTGTCAGGGGATTGTAAACAGCTTGAATCTCACATCTGACTGTTTTGTTCACATTGCTTGTCAGGTGAGCGTGTGTTATGTTCCACTCTTTGCCTATTTTACCTGTGATGACATGTTCGATTTTGCAGGACATGAGCATTAGCTCAGGTGTTGACATAGCAACAACATTATTTTGATGCAGAGACATCAGTCTACCATGTCCTGTCCGATTTCAGCCTCCAGTCTGGAGAAGCACCTTGAAATTTAATCAGAGTTCAAATGAGCTGTTGACACAAACCTATCCACTCCATTTCCCCTCTGTAGGAATGTTTTGGTCCCTGATTTCATCTCATAGGGATGTACAGTAGAATGGTCACTGCATTAACACCTTCAGAATAGTTAGAGTACAGACTACATGAATCTCCCTCATCCATGGTAGATGTCTACGGTGGCCCTTAAGAGACAAAGTAGATATCCAAGGATGTACTGTAGGCTATGCAGAAGATGCTCTGGTTACTTCAGCCTGGTCCCTGTGGTAAGCACTAACCAGACTGTTTGAGTTCCAGTTCCTCTTCACATCAGGATCAGACAGAACACTAAGAAAAAGGTTAAGTCAACACAGGGGGCTATACGCCATGCCTCCAAGCCTCCAAGCCGTCTCTTCCCACTTAATACATTTCTTATGCTGATTTAATGAAGCTCACAAAGCTTTGCTGGGTTTTCATAAGATATTTCAGGTTTTTTATGAAATGGTAATAAGGCCAGACAGATGGAGAGAGGGAGAACCTGGGGAAGGGATGAGAGCACAAATGTAGAGGTGAGCAATCTCATTAAGGTGGATTGATATATCCCCATGAATCCACACCCCACTCACTAGTGATCCTATCCTGAATTATTACACACACATCTCATCCGGGGTGTGTTATTACTGCTGCTAAATGATCCAAAATGGAAAGAAAAGTCATAAATATTCTAATGAGAAGTGCTCAGGTGATCAGGGATGTGGCCATACACACCAGTGCCCAGTTAAATCTAAAACAAATATCTTGAGGGCCTAGTGAACAAATTGACCTGAACACAGTGGGAATCATTAAATCTTTATCAACTCAGGGAGGTGGGGAGAAAAACATATTTGTGTAATTATTTCAATAAAGCAATATAGAAGATATACCTAGGTATAGAAGAGACACACACAGTTGTTGTCTGTGTGATTGTAAGAATAGCCCCAGTTAGCGCTGCCCAGACGCTACAGACACTCCCTCTGTCCCTCTACAAAACACCATATAACCTCTGCAAGAACATTATTTTGGATGGGGATCAATGTCTTTGCAGTCACTAGTATAGCAGTACTATAAGCTGCACATCCCAATGACCCATGTCACTACTCTGGTGCTCCTGGGACTGTGTGTGTGTGTGTGTGTGTGTGTGTGTGTGTGTGTGTGAGAGAGTGTTTAGGCTGCCTGGGCCTGGCAGAGGCCTCTGGAGGCTGTGCTGTAAAGCTATCATCAGTGGTGGTGTCAGGGATTTGTAGCTTGTCACTGAGAGAGCTCCCTGGCAGTGACTCTGGGAAATAACTGCTTATGGAGAGCCTTGCTCAGTGCAGTGTGTGTGTGTGTGTACTTTGTCTTTGAGGTATCTGGCTGTGCTTACGTAAGGTTGTTGTTGTGTGTGTGTGTGTTGACTGGGTGTTGGTATACGTCATATAACATCTTTACTTCTTAGGGCCTCTGGTTGTGTGTGTGTTTGTTTTCAGAGGGTGTATACAGTCCATGTATATATTGGGTGTGCCAGTGCTTCTGTGTTGCAATTGTGTGTGTATCTCCGTAAATGTTTGGGCATGCCGCATATGTTCAATGTATTTTGGTCCACACATCGTGTGCAGTGCATGTCCTTATTGGCCAAGTGTAGCTGCATCTCTGTTGCTGTTCATGTGGTTGTGTCTGTGTGGTCCAGAGGAGGCTGGTGGAAGGAGCTACAGGACGACGGGCTCATTGTGTTTGCTGGAATGGAATCAATGGAACGGAGTCAAACATGTGGTTTCCATATGTTTGAGCTGTTTGATAACGTTCAATTTATTCCATTCCAGTCATTACAATGAGCCCGTCCTCCTATAGCGCCTCCCACCAGCCTCCTCTGGTGTGGTCTCTCCTAAGATGGCTGCTGGCTCCGGAATGAACTTTCCCCTGCGTCAGAGGGCCAGCTGCAGCCAGGCAGGAGAAGTGCATCATGGTCCAGCTCTCTGGCCCACAGAGGAAGGCAGGGAGACGCTTCTCATTACAGTCACTCCTATTACCCTCCACACTACAGCCACGGCTGTCAACACTATAGGAGGCATGGTACACATTAAAGTTGTTGCTATTTTTTACTTTTTGAATATCAATATTTCAGAGAATCTACGGAACGTGATAAATTACAGGAGTATATTGATGGAATCAGTTACTGTATCTACATTTAGGTACAACAGACATATAACATTGTCACTTTCCTCCTCAAAGACATTAATTCTATCCTATCCTTCTTTGAAGGTGAAGCTCATAGGGTGAGCTATTTCCCAGTACTTCCATCAGGAGTATGATGAGTTTAGATGAGTGGAGGTAGTTCAGTGCAGTCTGGCCAGGGCTGGGTCTCGTTGGTCTGTCTGTGCCTACTGAACTAAACTACCCATCCCTCTGCAGCTGCCTCTGCTCCACTGAGAGAGAGAG